CTTTCCCCCTGCCCTTCTTGCTGAGTCTTCTACACCTCCGCAGGGTTGGAGAGGAGGGGAGGGGAAAGACAGGAAAAGTGGTAACTCCTTCCAACTTTTTGTCGTTTTGTCCCTTAAGGAGGCCCGAGGCCTTGACCTGCGGGGGCAGCAGCCCAGTGCAGAACCAACTCAATGGAGGCCTTTTGCAGCCAGGGTGTGGGAGATAAGCAGGACCCAAAGGGTTCCCAAGCCTGTCAGAGCCCCTCCCGGGTCTGTCCCTTATTCTGCCCACTCTGCTGCAGGTGGCAGCCAGAGGAAGCATTCCATGACCAAGACGGAAAGGAGCGACCCTTCCCAATCTCTGGGTGAAAGAAGGGATTCTTTCTCCCCTAGACAGGTTTTCCTAACAAAGTAACCTGGAAAACTATTGCAATTAATCAGAGGAAATCCGTACCCCTCCCTCTCCCCCCACCTCCCCACTCCATACACAATTAGGTGGTGTAATGGAAAGTGTATAGGACTTAGAATCAGGAGTCCTGAATTCTAGTCCCAGCCATGTCACTAATTAGTTTTAAGACTTTGATTAAATCACTTTTCCTCCTGGGGCCTAGCTCTCACTGTAAAATGGGAGGTGGGGTGATGGTGGAAGAATGTGACCTCCAAATTTCCTCCAGTTCCGACATTTGAGATCATTGGCCAGAGGTGGGCCTTCTCTCCCAAAGCATTACTCACCTCACCCTCGGTTGGTTAAGTTCTGATCTGCCCCAGATGCTCAATACGTGGTAGTTGAGTTTATATTATTTTTTAAATTCCAACAAAAGCCCCTGAAATAAACTGGGCTTGAGGGAGAGGGGAACCCTTTGATTCTCAGGTGGGTCCCTCTGTTCTTCTGATTGAGTACTGCTTTTCACCACAGACAGTCGTTCAGACTCTGGAATGACCTTGCCCCAGTTCTAGGATGCCTCCCCCAGGCCAGAGACAGTTCCCACCCGGCCCTCCTTCAGGTAGATGGCCCGGTGACCTGACTCTTGGCCACCCTTTCTCAGCCTCCTTCAGTCTTCTTGGCTCACAGAGATTTTCCAAAATCAGGTCAGAAGCCAGGCTAAGGGCATAGCTTTCTGTCTACTGCCTAGCCAGCTCCTGGCCCCCAGCTCACCCCAGCCCTTCCTGCCTGGCTCGGTAGCTGACCCCCGGTCCACGCCTCAGCCATTTCCCGTCTCGCCTGCCGCCATCCCCCTTTCCCCGCCCTCGCCTTCTAAGTCTCTCCCAGCTTCACTCTCACTAGTCCCTCCTTCCTCTCCCCATCCAAGTCTCTCCCAGTTTGGATCTCTCCTGATCACTCCGTCCAGCCAGCAGAAGTTTAATTTTGGGGAGGAGTGGGGTGGAGGAAGGTCTTTGAGATGAAGGTTTCTAGAGATGAAGCCCAGTCCACCCACCGGGGCTGCAATAGGAAAGCAGAGAAGTTGGCAGTGCCCTGGCGCAGGTGAGGAGAGGCCCACCTTACCTCGGTCATCAGGCGGTCTGCGCCACTGTTCTCCTCATCTTTGAAGATGATGTCAGGATTGTAGTTGGGCACCAGGTCCCGGAAGCGCTCGGAGCCCCTGGCAACCCTACCTTCGGCTGGCCCACTGGCGCCCAGGGTCCGTTCGGGCACGCTGGGCACAAATTGCTTGTAGAGCAGCGGCACAAGCTGCTTGCGCACATAGCGGCGCCGGCCAACCGGCCCCCGGCCCGGTCCGCAGCTCTGGGCTGGCAGCGTCAGAAGTGCCAAGCAGCACAGGAGCACCAGACTGGCCAGCAGCGCCATGGATGCAGCGGACTCGGGCCAAAAGGGAACGTTCTTATCCTTAACAGCTCGCCTGGCAGTTGGGCATTCCCCGCACCAGAGAGCGCAGCAGGCAGAACTGCCCCCAGAGTGCCCTAGAGCTCTTGTGGCTCTACGCACCTGGCTGCCGCTACTCTGCCTACATGCCCGCGGGGGTTCTGTAACCTGCTACAGGCGGGCCATCATAGCAGGGAAGTGGGGTCGTGGGTGGCTGCCAGCTCAGCCTGGCTCTGTCGCCAGGCTCCGGCGCTGCCACAATGCCCGGGCTCCGCCTTAAGTGGCCCCCTGGCCCCGCCCCCCGCCCAGGACCGGCCCGCCCCCTACCACCAGGGCGGGGGCTCTAGCCGGTCACCACGGGTCCAGTTTGAGACTGAGGTGTGTCCCATCCTGGAAACCAGGTAGTTACTTGCCTAGGAAACCCTCACAGCTTTACAGTCCTTGGCTGTCTGGTGAAGCATCCTTCTACCTCCCAGTCTGCGCTTGGTACCAAACCATCCTCCTCTGATATTTGAACTGGATCTTTGCTCTCCAAAGCCTACCCTGGCAGGCCATGTCCTCTGCTACTATCCAGAAATATTGGTTCCAGTTCCTGCCCAATGTCAACCATGCTCTTTGGGCATACAACCAGGGCCTCCCTTGCCTCTCCGTGGTCTTCCCCAAACCTCTGCCATTTCCATCTCTTCTGCTGGGAGTTTTCCCTAGAGTGAGCAACAGAGCTTCAAGTTATACTCTACTTTAGGACTTCAAAATTTGGCCCCTCTTTTGTCCTTGCTAGACACCCAACTTCTTTTTAAATGAATAACTTGTCAATTGGAAGTTGCTGGAGGGCAGTGGCTACTTGAACTCTCTAACTGGTTTCCTTTCACCTTTCATCTAGCCACCTCTCTAGCCTCTTCCTCTCTGGACCCTCCTGCGGCTCTGCTTCCAGTCACTCACTCAGGTTTATCCCAGAGGCTTTGAGCCTGCTACACGTCACCCACCAACCTACTCTCCTTTAGAAATCACTTTCTCTAAGAAGCCTTTTCTGATGTCTTGACACTGACCACCTCTATTTCCTGGAAAACCAGTAATTAACTGCCATCTATTGTGGTTCGGTGTTAGAATTATCTGTCACCCTTACTAGACAAAGCAATTAAGCACAAACTTATTTATCATGTAACCCCATGGTTAAGTGCCTAGCCTATAGTAGAGTGCTCAGCAAATATTCATGGCACGGCACCTACACTGTTTTTTGTGGGGTTTTTTGTTTGTTTGTTTGTTTGTTTGTTTTTGTATTCCATGTTCACCCTTCATGCAGCTCCATAGCTAGCACTTATAGGCACCTTTGTGTACATTAGAAAAAAAGCACCCCTTCCTCAATATACCTGCTATTTGCAAGAAAATAGTCATAACTATACATTAAGACTATGAGGTGAGTGGTGCCCTTAAATGTTGTTCAATGCAACATATACATAACCCTGAGCAGAAACTTTGTCCCTAGCCCCAACATAGCAGGGGGCTTGCATAGTACTTAAGGCACTGATAGCCTCTGGAAAGATGGAGTTAGGTTCTTCTCTGAGGTAGATCACAGACCTTTGTTAGCTAGCCACTTCTTTTACTCCACATCCAACAGTCAAATCAGGGAGGACAGGGCTGAGTGTGTGTGTGTGTGTGTGTGTGTGTATAAAGGGGGATCTTATCCTATTCCTACACCTATGCCTACCTACCCCCAATAACCAAGGCACATAAACAAGGTCATGAGTATAAGGAGAGTCAGGGGACTAGTCAGCTTTAGGCTAAGGGAGAGGAGCTCCACTGCCTGATTGTGTGGCTAACACCAGACCAAGTCCTCAAAGAACACTAAGATGCAGATGGAGGG